CTCCTCCCTCTTCATCCTACCTTTCTCTTTCTCTTCCTCTTTCTCTGCTTTCTCTTTCTCCTTGTCTTTCTCTTTCTCTTTTGCTTTCTTTGGACAAGGAGGAGAACGAGAGCGAGCAAGCATAAACACAAAATGCTAATATTGCAAGGCCACTCGGGCAGCATATCTTGCACCACAGGCCTTGGAAGACGACCTCGGGACAAAACTGCAGGAATTAATCATGTAATCATTGAATTTCACATCCATCACAAATGATGAAGTTGGGCAATGGGCTGGGTTTAAATTGTCATTGCTGAGGCAACCCTTCACAGGATGCGTCGATATGGAACATGGTTCTACACGGCCGCCAACACTCCTACGAGCGCATGAGGGAGCTGTCCAACTATGTCCTTGGCGTGGGTTTGAACCACATCTATTCATGTCAGAGGGACTATTAAAAAGCCGCTGGTAATCAGTGTGCCATGTTTCTTGGAGCCCATCATACGGCCAACAAAAAAGACTGATGGACAGTAACCTTTTGCGCGTAAGTGAGGCTTTTAAAGTGACATGTAATTGTTCAATTACTTTCGTTCACGTCTGTTTGGTTTTGCGCGCGCGGCTAAGCAAAGGCCGGATCCCAGGGAACCTGCAAGATGATCCGTACCACATCGAAGCGGGGCACTGCTGTGAAGGATCCCCGGAGCTCTTGCAACAAGTGGCGAACAGCCTGATGTGACCTGGTTATTGCTTTACTATTTGAATGTTTATCTACAATGATGCATGGTCGCCTAACACCGAAGGCATCCGGTCTTGCTGCCTCCTGGTCCTTCCCCCCTCAGCCCACCCTGCAGACAAGCGCTTTTCGTGTTCAGTCTTGTGATTTGCGACTTCCATTCAATAGCAACTGCTCATCCAACCAACTGCAAGTTTGCAATGTCGCTAAGTGAATGTCTGATCCATTTTGCATCGTTTCGACGAGTTTTCGCAAAAAATGCAGCGCTCCCCAGTGGCCTGCGGGGCAAAAACTTGGCAAGGGGCCTGTTGCCGTGACAAGACAAGACAACCTCCAAAAGGGCACCTGCGGACAGCATGGCCCAGCATGGCACTGCGCGACACACTGTTGCCCCAAATTCGCGCCGGAAAAGTCCCCAACGGGTCTCCTGGAACCCATAGATGTATTTTTATAGAAAACAGAACCATTTAGAGTCAAGTTAGAGTCTTGGCTACACAACTGGTTCTTGCTCTTCTTCCTCCTTGCGCAGCCGGGGTCAGCGGATCAGCCACATTGCAGGAGCCTTTCATTCTGAAGTAGTGACATGGTTGACGCAAACCATAGCCCACTGCACTTCACTGGGATCGCTGCCTTGCGCACATACTCCCCAAACTCAAGCTCCAGTATCCTTTTCTCACGAGGATGCTTGGACTGTCTCTGCTTTGTTTTGAGGCCCGTGCAAAGGGTCGCCGCCCGGCAAGGGGTTGGGGAGCCAAAAATCAAGGTGATGGCTTCGCAGGGGTTGGGGCGGCATTCATTATCCTTCATCGTGGGACATTGTAGACCCCCCAACCAATCCCCAATCGAATCATCTTGTGTCCAAGTTATTTTCCACAATCATTATTTTGGGTCCTGGTGTCTTGATGTGAGAAATCAGCCGGCAGTGTAGATATCGTGATGTGCCTGAGGAAACATATTCTTGATTGTGTTTCGTGTGTTTTCGTTCTGGGACATCATTGGTTTGAATAGTAGGCAGTAGACATGTGTGTAATTATACCGGAAAGTTGAATTCTTTTGCATTACACAACTACTAGATGCAGGGCATGTCAAATAGACACGTCATTGTGACAATAGGCATTTTTTGTGGATGAAACGTGTTGCCATTTCAGATGATCTCGCCCAGGCCAGGACCATACTAGCTGAGCCGAGAGCGGCAATGATCCGTGTAAAGCCGAGCCAAAAGAGAAAGCCTAGAAAGGGTGCTTTGCCAAATCAGACGACCCTAACTTTTCAACAAGAGAACACATTGGATTAAACAAGAAACCAATGGTATATATAATGTAGTAACTTGTCAACGACCGGATCTCGCACATATCTCGATTGACAGCGCTCCTTATGGTTGCCGTTTCTGACTGAGATCAAGGTGGCCACAAGCCAGAGGGGAGAACATGCGAGAGACAGCTTTTCCCATGAGCAACCACAACAGTTTTAATGCAACACTTCCAAAGTTTCCACACAGATCAGCTAGGCAGAATTGCAAACCTAGCCAGCCAACGAATGACAACGACAGACAAACGACACTTGCAAGTATACCTTGTAAGCACCTTTTTGCCGACGCCAAGCAGGCACTCGGTTTGGTGAGACTGTGCAACAGCTACAAAGGAGTCCAGTGCAAATGATAGAGTTTCAAGTCTCGGGCAAAAGGTGTTGTTCGAGAGAGAACCAAAGGCAACCCGCAAAACGCTATTGATATGAACAGTAGATGAAAATGCATTGCTCAGACATTCCCTCCAAGCCAGCAAGTGACCTTAGTGCCCTTCCGGCCCAGGAAGCATGCCAGCTGGTGAGCAGTCTCAGTGAGAGGTCGACACTAGCAGTGGGCAGTTCCTGGCAGTTCCTCACCAAGACACAGGACGCAAGTCGTGCGCTGCCAGTCGTGCTGCTCTCAGGTCAAGGCCGCAATGAGGAGGACTGGGGATGTCATGTTTGGAGACGGTGTCTGCTTGCCAATAAGCTGCTTCGGCCATTCTGAAGGTGAAATCGGAATGATGCATTTGGTTTGATGTAGTACTGTAGTACTTGTAGGTCTTTTTGGACTTGGTTCTTGACTGTTCTGAATCCAGCCCAAGTCAGGAACTCAAAAGCCTCGTTGTCCGGACTCTGGAGACCAATGGCCACTTGCCCTGTGAAAAGCAGTTTTCCGGCACCCAACATGGACGTTCCGAGGAACGTCCCAGTGCTACTGTATTCAATTCTACTATAGAAGGATTCCGTCATCCTGCACGGACATTTTTAAATAACTTCAAAAGAAAGCAAAAGTATGTTGGGTGGTGCGAGATGAACTTATCCGTCATTCTATCTCTTTTTGTAGATGACTCGAGCGATTTCAAGGTGGTTTTGGGGGAATCAGTGCAAGCTTCATCCAACTTCAACCTCTGATGAATCGTTTCTGAGTGCTGTTTTGCCGCCTCACTCATCTCTTAAGAAAGATCGGCCATTTTGCGATCTTGCAGGCGTCCTTGGACAAATTCGGGCGGAGCTTCGAGCAAATGTCTACAAGGCTACAGCATTTTTCTTCGTCTCCGGGCTTGGAGGAGTGGCTATCTCTTCGCACAGCTGGACTTCCCAAATCCGCTTTAGCCGAGGACACCCAGGAGTTTTTTGTGGGAATTTTGTCGATAAACCAAGGCAGCTCCACTTGTGAATGACATGAAGCATTGTCTCCGGGCTCTTGCGAAAGGTGGTTTTTAAAGCCAAATCTCCTCGATAGCGGTGCAGTGGTGGAGTGTAGAATTGTCTTTCTTCATCTACGAAAAGTGGTGGATTCGATGCGGTGGATTCGCTCAAACCTTTTGGAACAGCTCAAAAAACAGACATGGTTTCTCCATGTTTCTCACCCTTACTGGTAGAGTGAACACTGGGAAAGCAAGGGGTCTCTGCTCAGAGGCCATGTGCTTGCGGAAGATAGGGTTGACATGACACAATTCACGGGAGGAAGGAAGAACTATGTCCTAAAAGAACTGCCTCCAGACTCCTGAGATAACTCTTTTAATACTCTTTTCATGGTGCATGGTTGGGTCTCTCCTACAAATCCAAAGCGGCCTTTCATTCTTACCAGTGTGTTGGAAGTCCTGTGCTGGTCTCAAGTGCAGCAAGGGGGACATCTTCTAGGTGGGTTCAGATGTTCTTGCGCTTTCCCATAATCCGGTTCGATTGTGCAGAATAACATGATCCACTCCGAAAGGTCTCTCCGTTTGGTGGGCGAGCCGAGCCGCTTGGCCTGCCCGTGCGTAGGCCATCGACTGCGACGAAGATTTCGGAGCTTCGACGGCGGTGCGCTCTGCGGCTCGGCAAAAGGGGTAGATTGATTTGGGTCTTATGTGAAGAATTTTGAAGATCAGAAGATCTTCCTGAAAACATCTTTAAACACTTTAAGAGGGCTTCGGTTTGCCGGAAGAAGTGGGAAACTCCACTTTATTTGTGCTGCCTCAAGTGAATTTCCCCAAGCTTTCGTTCAACCACCATAGCTTTTCGACAGCCCTGAGTGGCTACCCAGATTTGTGTGGGAGTTTCTGTGCATGGCTTGAAAGTGCTGGTTGCTAGTCGCTGATTACATGACAGACCATTAACATCTAAGCTGAACATGGAGTGACTTGGAACGAAGCCTAAACGAATCCCCGAACGAAGCTGAAACAGGAAAGGACCTAAATGCCCCGGACAAGAGATAGCAATCGATTGCGGCACTCTTGAATGATGATGTGGTGCTGTGCATAACATTTAACATTTGGCAGTAATCCAACTCAGCTTGTGAAGACACAGGACATAGTACCGTGCCACTCCCTGGAAACGAAACCATAGTAGACAAGATTGCATTTGGATATTCATTTTGAAGATTGCTCAGATCTTATTGCCGGATGCCTGCCTCTGTGGATTGAGGCCAAGTTGACAAAGTCACCAGTGGGTCAGTTGATGGCTGAGATCGTCCGAATCTCACCGTTTTTTTGTTGTTTTATTTGAGTTGACAAATTTTCCATGTTCTAGATTCCAAATGCCATACTACTTGAATATACGACTTGAATTCTGCATAATTCTGCCTTTTTTTTTGTTCGACCAGTTTCTAACCCTTCGCCCATATCAATCTGAGAAGCGTCCACATCCGAACGGGCTACGAGCCGGCTGGCCGGAACCAAGGTGGCCGAGTTTTTTGAGTTCTACCAGTTCAGGCAGAGACCTTTCGGCTATTTGAGGAACAGTAACGTGCGTGATCGAAAAAGAAATTGATGCTTTGGTGACATGAACTTCAACCAAGCTCGTTGTTGGATCTCTGTAGGATTCTGTAAGCAATGTCCTCGAGGACGTAGAATCACCGCAGCATTCACCCTCAGACTCAGATCGTGAACTGACGGAGGGGCTAAGAAGTGACTCCAAGACCTGAGAATCCGGTGGGCAGATGTGATAAGTGTATCCAGTCGAACCGCGCTTCGCGCCGCGCTTCGACCGGTGCGCCCAGGGTGTTCCAGGAGGGTCATGGACTCGCCAAACCGGGCTGCCAGGCACAGTCTTTCGGTCTTTCTCCCAGAGTCGAACCTTGGAAAGGAGCGCCGCAGCCGTGCCGAGGCGCAAGGGCTCGGCAGGGAAAAGGCCACTGACTACCTTGGGAAGAGACCATGCCTAGAATCAAAGCCTTTGAAGATCATATTTGGATCGAACAAAACATGACAAAACCTATGGTTTGAGATGTTTGAGTCGCCCCCTTCCACATTCAATCGACAATTCGATCAATTTGCACGTAAACAGGAAGGGGGGCTGACCTTGACCATCTCCAGTTTTTGTCCGTTTTCTCACGATGAACCTAGAACAAAGCTGTGCGCAAGCCCCATGGCCCATGGCTGCTCATGCCTCTTGCGAGGTTGCCGTGGATGCTGGATTGATCCGGGTTCATTCAGAGACCTCCATCTTGGAGCAGCTCATGAGCCTCACGTCCAGCAGCTCACACAAGATGGGTCCCTTGGCAAAGGAGAAGTTTGTGATGAGTGCCGCACAGATTGTTCTTTTTACTCCAAGCAACATGTCATGTGCCAGAGCACCGGCTCCCAAGGTGGAGAGGGGTGGCATTCCAGTGCCAGCTCAACGACGGCCAGCCCCTTCTTTGGTGATGTTACTTGTTCACTGAAGCGAGACTGCCATTTGAGATGCTCAATTAGATCATTTGAAATCATTTGCATTCATTTGCACAGCAGTATTGAAGCAGAGCGTGGTAGCACTGAGTCCATGATTGCTTTAAAGTCGAGTCCGTACAATCTCTTTTTTGGGTTGTAGTGGCACCGAAATGATATGAGTCGTTTTCAAACTTACCGTCATTGCTTTACACAAGGGTGTTTTGAAGTTTTCCTTGTAAAGCGATACGGGATGTCGCAATAGGACAACCCTGGTATATACTCGGATGCTGATGTGCCAACACTGCAAAACCCTTGAAAATGAGACTTAGCGCCTACAGGGTCCATGTGCAAGACACTGGAGAACGATATGGGGACGTCTTAACTTTGAATAAATAGACCACGAATCATTCAGAAAACAACTCATGAATTTGGTGCAACTTGGTGCCGTAGTCAGCGCACATCACGCTGGCGCACAAATCTCCGCTCCAACTCTTGTGAAGCGCAGGCATCCTCGCCCCCACCACAGTTTGCCGCATCCATGGTCTGAATCCCAGCTCGTTTTGGTCCAGCCTGTTTGATTGGAGGCTGACACGTTTCTACTTAATATAGATTTAGGTATACACCTCACACATGACTGTCAAGAAGGAACAAAAGAACCCGCATGAAAGACAGTCAATTTCTGTGTATTAGCTTGATGTGACATGGTGAAGCTTACCAAGCCAGTTTGGTTGCTCCCCCAAAATGCAATCCTCATGGGGAACAATTCATTGTGAGATATTAACCCATATGGCCAATCCGCTTCCCATTCATTTGCTTGTCGCTGTCGCACGTGAGGCATCTACACGTCATTCAGCCTGGGAGAGCGGAGGAAATGATACGCCGCCAGCAGGAGCTTGTCTCAGTCCAGGTAGCAATTTGGTTTCAGATCGTGGCTTGCGGCCATTGGGCATCAGATGTTGCGGACTTGTTGCGAGTTACGGGAGTTGGCTGCGGCCAAGGGGGAGGGCTGTTTGCTTTGACTTTGACTTTTGCAATCTCGTCAAAGTTTGGCTTGAAGCTGGATTGCACATGATTCATGTAATTAGATGCATTTCCCCAGCGAAATCAAGTAGGATGACAGGAAGCAGCAGCGCAGGCCACTCCAAGCAAGATATTCACAGCACCGTTTTACTTGATACAATGGTGGAAATAGATGGAAATAGCTAAGTTTCCCTAAGAATCTAGGAACCAAATCATTAGTGCGAGCGCTTCTTCAAGGAAGCTCCCTCCCGCCGCCTTTAGAGCGGTGGGGGAAGCTTCCTGGAAGAAGCGTGAGCTATCCTGCGTCCATACTAGTAGCTACTGATGCTACTAGCTACCTCTCCCTATACCTCGTTCCTTTGCGGCCTACCCCCTGGGGTGTAAAAAAAACTATATATATATACATTTAGTAATTATTAGATAAGAGGAGGAGGCTTGAAAAACTCCCCTCAACCAACATGGAAACCAAGTCTGTGCACCAGATGGTGATGGAGTTGCAACGTTTAAGGCAGAGGACCTTTAGATCTGAGAACCGATTATTGTTCAAGTTGTGGCGCGAGATGTCGGACCAGCGGGAGGAGTTACGAAAGAGTGAGGTCCAAAAGAAGCAAAATGCAGAGATGATGGCAGAGCTTCAGAAAGAATTGGACCAATTGGAGCAAAGTGAATGCGCATTAGCTGACTTGGAAGGGAAGATGAAACGCCGGCCTGTTGCGGAAGGCTCAGCCCAAGACCCAGATTTGGCAGTCCCTTGCTTACGAGTTGCTCGAAAGGCTTTGCATGGTGATGAGGGCCTAGGCTACATCAGCGTGCCCGAAGGAATGGTTCTCGTGATCACCACCACCGAGTATGAGGGCCAAACGCTCTGGTATTTCGGATACTCCATGAACGAGCCAACAGCATCTGGCTGGATGAAAGCTTCAGACACCAGAGCCTTCCAAAGAGAAGAATTTGGATAACAGGAAAGAAAAGGTGAGTGTGGTTCGAGAGCCGCTGGACCTCAGAGTTAAAGCATAATCCGTTCTTGTGAATCACATCACCTGAGGACAGATGCGACATCAAGGCCCGAGCTTGGCTGGGTGATGCTGGGTATATGGGTACGAGAATCTCTGTGATGAAAAACCGGAGCAACTTAAACTCAAAGGATTCTTTTCTTGGATTGTCAGCTCCAACCTTTTTCACACACAATGGATGACCCTCTCAGTATCCTCTCAATATACTGATGTACTCGTACGGAAGAGATACTCATGAACTTGTAGTCGAATTGGGATGGACCGTTGCAAGAGCTGAGCTGCCACACATGCCATTATGTAGAAAGTCTTATAGTGGCATATTGTGGCTTTCTTTCTGACTATATGACTATATACATCAATTCTTATCCCTTGTTCTCAGAACCTTGACATGAACATGACATGTCTGTTTCATTGTCTCATGATGCCATAATTTTTGAACCTCTAGATTGTGGAACATTGTAGTATCAATCTCAAGATGCCAGAGTGCCGTTGAAGCTTTTCGTTTGAATCTCCAAGCAGGTGATCGCACTCGGGACTTGGTCGGAGGGGTCGGGGGTCCCGAGCTTTCCGGGAACAGGGGAGGTGCGGAGAACCTGGGTGTGGACAGGTTGAAATTGGATTGGGAGGCTTTATATAGATTGTGCTTGTTCGGAATAGCTCATGAATCCTTCTTGGTGGGAACAAATCAATACATCCAGCTCTTGACTGTGTGATTAGTGTCATGAGCAGTTTGCCGGTTGTTTGAGCTGTACCATGCAAGCGGGGCATCAGGACTTGTAGCATTCCTACCAACAGAACTTGTCAGGCGGTTTTAAAGACAGCGCAGGCGTTGCCCAGCTTTGCCAACAGTGGACTCCATCCTTTGCCCACAGATGATTTATGACTCAGGCAACAGTGCTGGATGCTTTGAGTTCAGCTGTTGGGCACGACGTGCGGCACGACGTGCGGCACGACGTGCACAAAGGACGGGCGGCTTCCGCAGCACACGGGGTCCGTTCACCCGATGCTTTTGGGTCCTTTGTCACCGTGATGTAAATCTGATGTGAAGAGAAGGAAGAGCCAGAAAGTTAACCGACATCAATCAAGAACGCAATATGGGGGCTGAAAAACCACATCAATCGGCCCAGGAACACGCACTGCAGATGAAAGAAAAGAGGAGGCGCAATAGCCAAGCCGCTGCCATTGCCCATGCCGATTCATGGTTAGATTCTATAAGGTGTGTTCCACCTCTCTATGCTTTAAACCAATAGTTCTACCTGGTTTTGCTCAAGGTGAATTTCTATTTTCCCTATGGGCGAATTCCCTTCTGTTTCTTTTTTCTAGGTTCCGTACGCAAATTCAAGTCTGAGCACGCCCCGGAGTGCACCAAATTGTCCTGGGTCCTAGATTTCACATCCGATCTGCCTAGCATGGCCGAACCGTGTGGCCTTCGTTTGTCCTCAGTAGGCACCCGAGGCGGCACCGCGCATGATTCGAAGAATGCACTCATTACTGTAAGCTATATACTTGCTACTAGTAGCAATGCACTTGTTACTAGCTTCGAAGATCTTGGTTGGACGAAAAGATGGAACGTTGGCTTGGTGGAGGGTGACATGGCTCAACTCAAGTCATCTCAGATTATTGTTCAGATGAAAATGGCCCTGTAGCAGCTGTGAGGTAAGCCTATGGGTGATGCTAGAAGACACGAATAAGTTTGCATAGGAGGACCCTTTCACAATTCCACTTACTGGGTCCCACTCACCCTCAGCACTGCTGCCATAATGACATCGCAACTATAGGTTTTGGTTTGCTCACACCCATCCGATCCCTGTAGGGCACTGTACGGTGTGCTTTTGGAATGGAAGCAATTTGCTTCAATGTCTGGCATCAATCATCGTGATTCTTGGAGATTTTTGTGCTCAGAGATTCGGCATTTTTTGTAGATTCGAAACAAGACGATTTACAGTACATCGATTTACTGTGGCAAGAAGCTACTAGTAGCTCCTGGCATTACTACTAGTAGCAAGAAGCTACTAGTAACATGTAACCACCAAGTAGCATTGAGGCTCAGGAAGTCGAACCAGAGCAAGATTGCGAAATAAAGATCAGAAAGCTCCGCTGGATGGCAGGCTCCGCCGAAAGAGGAGGAGGTCATTGAGGAGGCCATCTATGTTTTCTTCAATCACTATATAGAAGATACGATGTTCACATAGTGGAAGACTGAGCAGTCTCAGACCAATTATTTGGGGACATACAACCTAGTCCAGTATGGATACTCCTAGAATCGGACTAAAAACACAACTACTAGCATATCCCCTGTTATGGTGGGTCAAACATCATTATATATTAACTACTGCAATCCATTCATGGAGAGGTCAAAGAGCGGCGTGGCAAGCCCGCCCCGCGCACCAAGCTGCCATCGCTGGGTACCTCACTCAACGGTGGCAAGGACAGAGGTGTAGGGAGCTTTCGGTCTTTTTTTGCAAATCCATCCACTGTGTTTCTTTTGTTTTGGATCGAGGTGGATTACCCCTGAAGAACCCCATGATACCTCTTATTTGGAACCATTTCTTATGAATGCACGAGTTTGCGAGATTTTGTGGGAGGTGCCATGAGGGGACGGACATCGCCTCTCATCTCCCGTCCACGGATTTCTTGGGATGACTTCGTTGTGTGACTTCGGCCCGTTGACTGGTGAACGCTTGAACGTTCGACCAGTGACGCCACGGTCAAAATCGATGGGGCACTCCGAAAGGAAGACGACACAGGAGAGACGCTTGAATATGTCGGCCTAAAGGCTCTCTAAGGTTGATCATTCTTTAATTCAACCAGGGGAATTGAGACAGGGTCGGGCCTTTTTTTCTTGGGTTCTCGGAGCAATATCCAGACCAGAGCCAGTCAAGCTCAGAACACAAAGGAAACACAGCGTGGAATTTAGGACGGTGAATCTGTGGATGCCAGATCCTGGCCGTTTGCAAATCTCTGACTGTGCACTGCAGCATTTTGGACTGTTCCTCTTTAACAAGAAGAAACAGTCCAATGCAATCTCCTTGCAGGGGTCGGGAGAGAAGGTCTGTGGGAGATGTGTGTTTTAGTGATAGTACTTTTAAATGTAATTCACTGATCCATCTGATCCCCACTCCTCTTGTTCTCTTCAAACTGGCCTGGACTGCAGGAATTGCTGCCTCCGCTTCGCGGCGTGGGGTCTGCCACTCATACTTTGTCTGACTGGCAGATTGCTGGCGATGTCAGTCTCCCTAGATCAGCCAAACACATGATTATACAATACTGATAGGGATTTCAGTATGATTTTGTCGTCTGAAAGTCTACCGGCTAATTTAACAGGGACCATTTTCGAGTTCTGTCGTCCGTTTGACCTCAAACCTCTTCGAGGCTAGCAAGTAGCTTGGGCTCCCGCGGCGCGGTGTCTGGAATTCATACTCCTGAGGAGGAGGTGAACGCAGTTTGCGAGTTAAATGGTTTCCATGATGGTGGCATCGCTACTAGGAGCAAGGACGCTACTAGTATCTCCTGGCATTACTACTAGGAATCTAAGACTCTACATCTACTCCCTGGCTTTCAGTCTTCAGCAGGTGTCGCTGGGTGAGCAATCTGGAGGAGCCTCCGAATCCGGAGGAGCCTCCAGCGATCTGTTGGACGAGGCCTTTCGCTGTGAAGGAGCCGGACCTACCTTGGAAGACTAAGGTGGAACCTTGTGCAACCCATCGCCACCACCGGTAAGAGCTCTTGTTATTTCAATTGGGAGACCTCAACCGTTGGGTTTTGGTCTATTTCCCGTCTTCCAGTCTTTGAGAGGTCTCCCTATTTTCATACACACCCATTATAGGGAGTGTTTTGGGTCAGAGAACCACCATTATTCCGTTGAACTCTTGTTCATTGCTCCTCTAGTTCACAGCTTTCACACAAATCGGAGCAGTGGCTGCCATTCTGCTCTTTGCGCTGCTCTTTTTCCTCCCAGACTTTTTTCGGCTCGGCCACGCGAGGTGGATCGGCAACTTGCCATACTGAATCGGCCTGGGAACAGAGTAGGCTCCTGCGGTTTTGCATTTTTGAAGTTGCTGGAGCTGAGTTGAGAAGGCAGAAGACACGATGGATTTGATTGGGCCAAGATGGGAAACTCATTGAAACGGTGCGCTTCGGACTCAAGCGGAGATTCTTTTTGTGCCCACAAAACAAATCCACTACAGATTACTTGAGCATCTTTTCCATTAGTTCAGGTCTCAAACTCATAGGTGACTTGGAAGTCTTGTTTTGAGACGAATCCTTTCCAATCGAATCGGCCTCAGCAGGCCTCACGCCTGCAGCGGTGAGCAGAGAGGGGGATGGCCTTGAGGTGGGCCCCTCGACGGGGTGGAGCGGGGACCGAAACAGATGACTCATGATGACGGCAGCACAAACAATTGCTTGTTCAAGACTTCACTGTTGAACTGTGAACGAGGTCCCAGGTGGGGCTTCTTTTGGATCACTATCTCGCTTGAAGTGTGATGCCTGTGATGTTACATTGGAAGGCCTCTGCCTCTGCAAGTGCTGGGGTCCGTGCCTCAAGGGAAGGCCTGCAAACAACTCAAGGAGCCAAAGAGATTGTGCAAAGTCTGGGACCTGGGAAGTGCTTTTCGTAAGGAAACCTCAAATAGTTGCTTTTCGTTTGTTGCTGCTCACATCTCCCCTGTGTCACGCACGCTAAGGCGGATCATTGAGAATCCAAGGCTCCGAGGCGAGGGCGCTCGCTCGGTCTCCGCACATCGCCCACGCTCGGGACAGCCGGCGCCTTCGGGATCGCTATTGGGTTGGAGGCCAAGCCGCTAGTAGGGCGGACTGTTTCCTTGCTTAGGTCGCGCACGCTTCGGGCATTCAATTTTTTTTAGTTCTCAGCAGCCCTGAAGGTCCCATGCGTTTTCTTTGGCATTAATGCGATCGTCGGATTAATCAACGGGCCCCCCCCCCCAGAAGGTCAACAAGGTCAACAAGGTCTGAGATTGGAGGTTTTGGAGATCACATCCCCCTAATAGTGGGGATGACCTGATGATGAAAGGGAATTTGATTTGGAAGAATTGGAATGAAAGGGAATTAGTATTTGGAAGAATTGAGATGAAAGGGAATTTGCATTTGGAAGAATTGGAATGAAAGGGAATTAGTATTTGGAAGAATTGGAATGAAAGGGAATTAGTACTTGGAAGAATTGGAATGAAAGGGAATTAGTATTTGGAAGGGTTGGGATGAAAGGGAATTAGTATTTGGAAGAATTGGAGCCCAAATACTAATTCCCTTTCATCATGAGGTCCATGAGAGCTCATCATGGATGGGGTTGACTAATGGGGGGGGGGTACAGGGGGGTAGGGGGTGTATGGGGGGTACCCTTTCTGAGCTTCTCAAATTGCAGATTTTGATAGAGTTTTAATAAGGGAAAATGAAAGAATTTTCCTAGAGAGTTTTTGGACATTCTAGGAAAACTGTTGCTTTGGGAGAGCATTGGTAATCAATCAGAAGATCAGTTTCACCATGGCAAGACAAGAAAATATTGAAAAGGGAAAAATAACAAAACTAATTA